AGGTAGAGAGAGGAGGGGCTGTTTGTCGCAGCCAGCAGCTAAGTTTAAAAGTATTTGCCCAATTTTACGATAAGTGTCAAACTAAGTTAGCCTATATACAGACAGCTGTAAGTTTAGCTTATTAGTAACAATTTGTTATCAGCCAAATTAGCATGCTGTCTAAATCAGCATGTAAGACGTTAGTGACGGTGGGTGAGAAACTGTGGACGGAGCATATTGATATCACTGTCTACATGTTTACATGTTCATGCTCGCTGAACACATGTATTGATAAATTATTGGCCTCTTACTCGCTAAGGTTTAATTTCACATACAGTAATGAATGTAGCTGCCGTCAACTGGAGTAATTTTTGAGTAATCTTCACTTTGTTTCCAACGCAGCCGATCGGCTGTTCACCGGTTGTGTTTGTCATATCGTGTGTGTGTGTATGTGTGAATGTGTGTATGTGAAGGTGGTCGGCCCTGGCACAGAGCGCAGATGAGAGGCTGCAGGATGATAATTAATTCAACCAAAATACTGATAAAAGAACCGATACCACTAGAGCTTATCAATATTACGGTCTTTGATATTTTAGCCCCAGGGCAAATTTAGTACTGGGTTTCAGAACCCATCCCCACTGGCTTCCAAATTCTCTTTACCTCCATCCCATCTTTTCTGTTATTTTCAGGTCAGGCACTATGTTTCCTAACTTTCCTGCTCTACTGCCAAAAGAGCCTTGGGAGGCCCTTATAATATTACTGCCCAGACAGAGGGCATCCATTCCCCACATCTACTCATTTTTTTTAAAGATATTTTTTGGGGCATTTTGGCCTTTAATCGATAGGACAGACAAGCGTGAAAGGGGGGGAGAGAGAGAGGGAGTAACATGCAGCAAAGGGCCACGGGCCACGAGTCAAACCCAGGCCACTGCAGCAACAGCCTTGTACATAGGGCGCCTGCTCTACCACTAAGCCACCGACGCCCCATCTACTCATTTATTATGTCAATGGACCCACACTCTATAACTAAAATAAAAACTACCTGGGTACAAGAGATAGGGGTTGAACTGGCTGAGGAATAGTGGTATAAAGCAATTGATAGAGTGGGAACCACAACCTCTTGTACTTGTCATGGGCTCATCCAGTTCAGAGTTTTATATAGATTGGGTTTCTCCAAATCCAGGCTATCCAAGATATATCCAAATGTAAAATTGCAAGCCTGTTAGCATTCAATCTTTGAAACCGTCTCTGGTGTTCTCAAGATCAGTCTGCAACTGTGCCCCATAACAGCCATCTTTGGTGTCCCCACTGATCTGTCCTCATTAAACTCTACGCAAATAGACATTGTCGCTTTCTCAACCTTACTGGCACGTCGCAGATGGACAGTCTCAAATGGAAGTCCTCACTGCCACCCTTCATTTCTACTTGGCTTACAGATGTGATGTTCTTTCTCAATCTTGAGAAAATTAAATATTTTCTGAGGGTTTAAAATGACAAATTTGTCTCAAAGTGGCAATCCTTCACTGCCTTGCAGAAGCTCCCTTCAGATGACGGACCCGTAGCTTGTGCCCCCTATGCCCCATATGTTATGTCACCCTCTTACTTAGCTGGGCACCTGTATACCATTACATGATTGATGGCTTATGGTACAGTCAGGGTGCACTTTTCTGCTACCTCTACCAATGAATGATGCTTTTACTGCATGTGACAATTTTGATTTAATTATTTTTTTGTATCATTTTTGTTTTCGTACAGTATATCTTTTTATTTATTTTATTGCATTTCTATTTATGTTATTACTTTATCCATCTTTCCTCCTATTGTTACAGGTTGTGGGAGGGGGGTGGGTGTGGCTGTTGTTCACTGTGTTGCCCTGTAACTATGGCAAAATTTCAATAGAAATATATATATTAAAAAAAAAAACACTATTCACAGTCATGTAAACATCCCACCATGCACCAGTGCCTCCTCTAAAAAATGTAATGTATGACTGAATGCAAAACAGACATGCTGAGGTGGGTAACAAGATGAAAAACTGACTAAAAATGATCTGTGTTTATGGGGACTTATTTATTCACTAGTATGACAGTTTATTGAATCAATCAGAAAATGAACTTTTGTTTCTCACATGAAAATTTCTCAGTGAGATTTGTTCAGTCCTGCAAACTCTGCCCTGGTGGTTCTGGGCCATGACACACACCAAGCCAGCGGTTGGCTGTTGGCCAGTATTGGGCTGACATACCACAAAAACTAGGGTGACAGACACTCTGTCACCCTAGTTTTTGCGGTGTTTCCCGCACCGTTGCTTCTAGTTGGCCCTTGTCCGTTTTTTTCAGCTGATTCAGCATGTTGAATAGGCAGCAGAGCCAGTTGATGAGAGGACTCATTTCTGATTGGCTGTTCAACATGAGCAAATCAGTGCACAAGAGGAGAAGCCAGAGTTAAAGATAGCAAACAAACCACTAAAGTCAAGAGGGATTGAGGTCAAAACAAACGTATAAATATGTAAATATAATTTGTTTTTCAGCATCGGGTTGTGTTGTTATTGTGCTAACTGGCTAATAAGCACCTTGAATCTGAACTGTCGGTCTGCTGGTTACCCTTTTTGGATGACAAATACAGACTACCGCTGCCTGCTGCTGTGGAAAGTTATTTCCTGTTACTCAGGGGCAGAATGAACATGCTGTTTGCTGTTGGCAGTAGCCTTTGTGGTCTGTTCAAGTGCAACTTTTTTGCCAAGACACAGGTGATGTGATGCAACAAAACAGTCAGTCTTTGCCGCTAGTTCCTTGATGTCTGTTTGGTGAGTCTGGGCCTAGGGGTTTCTTACTGACAGGTTTCTCATTTACAACAATCCAAGTTCATGATACCTTAATTATGCACATTTATAGTATTTACAAATGAAGAAACTTGCTGGAAACCACTTAAAACTGTGAATTGTGGAGTTAGACCATTGAACTGTTTTTCACCATTTCTGTGTCCAGGATTTTTTGGGCAGGGCTGAAAGCCTGCTTGATGACACAATGGAGCAACTCTTAGCATAAGCCCTGCCCATACACCAAGTAAGAACTACAGCCGTTGAGTTTTGTTGTCTGAGAAGATGAATCAAAATGACCATTCTGTTGCAGAGTGAGAAGAATGAATGTTGATTTTCGGGCAGGTCAGTATCCTCTGGCTCTGACTTTGATTCTTGCTCTGGTGGCTCAAACATGTCAGTCCAAAAAAGCTGCTAGATGGAGCATCCATTTAAGTGCTACAGTTAAATGAGGCTACAGCTTTCCTGCCAGTAGGCATGGCTTCAGCACATTCAGTGGACGCGCCCCCAGTGTCTCAGAGCAGACAATACTCCCTATTTTTTCATGATTTTGAAATGTATTTTTATATACTTGCTGACTTTTTAATCATTCTGATTTGGCTGGGTGCTTAATAACACATTTTCCTGTGGTGTAACGAACTCATTACACTTTTTTTTTTTTCTTCACCCGGACTTTAATGTTACCTCTCCAGCCTTGGGGTTTTGAACTGTAGTGTAGGCCAACTGAGTTTGTTTTAACCTGGCTCTTAGCCAGTGACTAGCTTTTACAGTCTGGCAACTCTGCAGTGAAGAATGGTCAGGAGACTTTGTGAAAATGTTGCATTAAACAGGTGCTTTATTTCTTCTGTGCAGAGAACACAAGACGTGCTATAGTGGAAACTGAACTTATCTAGACACTTTTTGCTGACCGCTGTAGCTGTAGAAAAGCATGTGCTTCACTGCATCTGTGGCACTTGCTGGCCCTGTACTTCTCTACAAACAAACGCTGCCAGACTACGTTACAAAACATGTAACCTGTCTTAAAGGGGAAGGAGTGGCTTGTAATATTATAAGGGATAATGCACCCAAAAATGAAAATTCAGCCATTATCTACTAACCCATATGCCGATGGAGGCTCAGGTGAAGTTTTAGAGTCCTCACAACACTTCCGGAGATCCAAAGGGAGAGAGGGAAGCAACACAACTCCACCTAATGGAGGCTTACGGCGCCCCAGATTCAAATGTCCAAAAACACATAATTGAAACCACAAAATATCTCCATACTGCTCGTCCGTAGTGATCCAAGTGTCCTGAAGCCCCAACATAAAAAGTTGTTTGGAAAAACGTCATTTGAATGCTGTTTTTAGCCTCATTGTAGCCTGTAGCTCTAACCGCCTCTCTGTGCACTGCATTCACATGTGCGCACTTGCACGAGACCGTGAGACATGGGCACGGCGTTCATGTGTGTTCACGTGCTTTCGCTGGTCTCACGCAAGCGCACACACATGAGCGTGGTGCACAGAGAATCTAGGGGTGCCGTAAGCCTCCATTAGGTAGAGTTGTGTTGCTACCCCCTCTCCCTCTGGATCTCCGGAAGTGTTGTGAGGACTCTAAAACTTCACCTAAGCCTCCATCAGCATATGGGTGAGTAGAAAATGGGTGAATTTTCATTTTTGGGTGAACTATCCCTTTAATCATGAAAAATGAGAACAATGTGGGTTTTCCTTTTTTATCAACAAGCAAAGCAAAGTTGTAACATGACATGTTTTAATTATATGCATTACTTGACATTGCAAGTCCTGCGATGCAACTATTGCACATACACACATTGCAATGTCGATGCAGAAATCAAATATCACGCAGCCCTACCGGGGACTGTGGTAGAGGAGCTAAATGTAGACCCTGGTACATGCAGTCTAAAGGGTCCTGAAAAAGTTCCTGTGGTGGAAATTGTCTGTTAACAAGAATGAAACAGAGCCTTAGCAGTTTCTGACCACCCTATGCAAGAAGCATTCATTGTCAAAATCTTTGGGTGCCCTAACCCCCACTCCTTTCTCTCCATTTCCTGTTATTCTTTCCTGTCATCTATCAAATAAAAGAATAAATAACTATCCATCTGTCCATTTTTCATACTCAACCATCTATGTCAAGCAAGAGACCAGAGCAAATTTGTTCATAGTGTTCTGTGATTAATTTCAGTTTTTGAGGCATACTTTTTCTATCTGCAGGTGGAACGTCCATCTTTCTCAATTGAGAGCCTAAGAAGACACACTTCAGACTCTAAGATGAACAGCCTCTCACCGAAGGGTAAAACCGCCTCTAGATTTTAAAGGACAACTTCAGTATTTTTCAACCTGGGCCCTATTTCCCCATGTGTATGTGTGCGTATGATTCATGGGTACAACTTGTTCTAAAATTGGTTCAGTATTGAGGGAGGCGAATGCAGCCAGCAGCCGTGAAACGAGCTAAAACGGTAACGGGGGCAAATGCGTCCCGTATAAGTTTGCGCATTAAAAGTGCTTATTTTCGCCACTGACCGTTTCAGATCGACAGTGCTATGAGTGCTATGAGTAGAGTCAGCTGCCAATCAGTGTTGGAGCAGAGAGGGGGAGGGCTGCCCCGCTGGGTACTGTAAGTGAGTATGTGTGTATGAAGTGTATGTGTTACGCTAGAAGAGTCAGAGGACGGAGTCTTGTACGTGCTACCCCCTGGAGTGTTACCAGAGTTTTTGGAGTGCTCAAATAAAAGGGCCTTTTTCCCGAACGCAAGAACAGGATGTCGCGCAACACCCTGTACAGCTTTCACAGGCTGCCTTTGTCGGACGGCGAGATGCTGAAGTTGTGGCTAGTTGTGCTACAAATGGATGCTAACACTCCTGTCCAGACACTGCACCTTGCAGACCATCAGGTCTGCAGTACTCACTTCTCCCAAGATGACTACTGCCAGCCGAAGAAGAGAAGACATCCAATCCCGAAAGACCTCTTCCTCAAGAAAACAGCTATCCCACGAGTAGAGAGAGCTACAGAGTGGAGCAAAGCTCGTGACATCACACAGCCCAGAGGTAAGGGAAAGGCTAAGTTAGTATGCTATTTACAGAGATAACACTGGCAATCTGAACCGGTCAGTGGCGAAAAAACACACACTTCATACACACATACTCACTTACAGTACCCAGCGGGGCAGCCCTCCCCCTCTCTGCTCCAACACTGACTGACAGCTGACTCCACTCATAGCACTCATAGCACTGGCAATCTGAACCAGTCAGTGGCGAAAACTTATACGAGACGCATTTGCCCCTGTTACCGTTTTAGCTCGTTTCGCGGCTCCAGTTGCATCCACCTCCCTCAATACTGAACCAATTTTAGAACAAGTTGTACCTATGAATCATACGTACACATACACATGGGGAAATAGGGCCCAGGTTGAAAAATACAGAAGTTGTCCTTTAAGTTCTCTGACCAGGAGCCAAGCTATAGAGTCTTGTTAGTCTTGTTAGTCCTGGTCAATACACAGATATGTTTTCAGTGGATGTTGCTGGTGATGCTAAATCTGCTGCAGAAACCTGCACAGGACTGATTTTTAAGACCTGCTCTCAAACAGGCACTGTGCTGTGCAGTAGCTCAGTCCATAGGGACTTGGGTTGGGAACTGGAGGGTCGTCTGTTCGAGTCCCTGTCCGGACCAAATATGGAGTGTGGACTGGTGGCTGGAGAGGTGCCAGTTCACCTCCTGGGCACTGCCGAGGTGCCCTCGAGCAAGGCACCGAACCCCCCAACCGCTCGGGGCGCCTCACCAAAGGCAGCCCCCTCACTCTGACATCTCTCCACTTTGTGCATGTATAGGTCCTGTTTGTGCATGTGTGTGTCTTTCGGACCTGTGTGTAATTGACAGCAAGAGTGAAAAAACTGAATTTCCCCTCAGGGGGATTAATAAAGTATATAAAATTAAAATTAAATTAAAAAAAATAAATAACACACCTGCGCAGCCACATTGCCTGACCAAATCCTATGATAACCGCACACTGTTCAAATAACTCAGATATGCAGCATGTTTAAAGTGATCATTTTTGGACATTTCATACATGTGAAACTAAAATAATATATTCCAAAATAAAGACAATTAGAAATACAATTCAAATTGATATTTTTTTTCTACTTTCCTATTAATGAGCAGAGCATCTCCACAGTAAACATGTCTGTTGTTAACACACGTGATTGAAACAGCTCTCATATTCCATCTGGAGACAGAGCTGACACACAAAGTCAGCAGTCAGAGAATTAACATTTTTAACATTTTTTCCTGGTGTTTGTCTGTGTCCAGCTGACCGTGTCTTGACTGTGTGTTCCATCAGAGTTAAAAGCCCAGCAGGAGCCAATGCTGACCTGTGAACTGTGTGGTAGGGTCGATTTCGCCTACGTCTTCAAAAGGTCCAAGAGGTTCTGTTCTACAGTGTGTGCCAAACGGTAAGGCAGTGCAGGAAAGACATTACTGTCTCATAATTTCCCTCATTTCCACAATTTCCTCTGTGGTGAAAATTGTGTCCTGATCAAATTTTTTGGATCCAATCCTCATTTGAGTAATGTTGTAAATCTGCAGATACAGAGTCCAAACTGATGCTTGTTACTAACCTCAATGTTGATTAAAGGTTCTGTATGTAACTTTCAGAAAATCCTTGTTGACACCAGTGGCTGTTAAGTGAACTGCAGTCATCAATAGCCCCTTTTCCATGGCAGTAACTGTTATCATTTACCCGGGATTTTGAAAAACCTCAACACTTTTCCACCGAAATTACCAGGGGAAAAAAATCTTTCCCTCAACCCCAAACTTTCCCTGAAAAAAGTACCTAATAGGGGGGTAGGACTTTTCAGATTCCCTGGAATTCTTGAGGGGCAGGGCGGTGTGCTGAAGAATGCTTATTGGTGGAGCACACACTTGCAGCATTCCGCACATCCGTGCCAGTGTGGCTGCAAACTTTATTTCATTTCTACAAGCTTCAATTCATTTGTGTTTTGATCAAGGATGGGTACCGAAACCTGGTACTAAATAAGCCCCCGGGGCTAAATTATCAAAGACCGTAGCATTGATAAGTGCTAACTAGACCTGTCACGATAACAAATTTTGCTGGGTGATTAATTGCATCAGAAATTATTGCGATAAGCAATAATATTGTGTAATATTGTGCTTTTGAGACCATTTTTAGTATTGTTGTAATTTTGCTGTTTTTAGACCATTTTTTAAACTTACATAATGATAATAAAGGCATATTGATGCAAATACACCCTTTTAAAGAGAAATAAACATTTATTCAACAAGAATATTTAGGAATGCAAAAAAGAAAATTTAAATATCCGAAATAACACGTAAAAATATCAAAATAAATAAATAAATACAAAAAAATAGACTCAGTCTCTCACTCTCAGGTGTGCGGTTAAGTTGGTCGTATTCGCTCTTTTTGTTGAGATGGTTTTAGAACAAACCCGGCACACCGGCTCGTCCAAATTACTGGGCTCCCCTCTGTCTTTTGGTTTAAATCCAAAATACTCCCACACAGCGGCCGTGGCATTTGGTTTAGGAACAAGTTCCATGTCTTTCTTTTATGCTCAACTGTTTTTTTCTCCGCCTCATCTCCCCCTCACGAAGATCGCAGTGAGTGTGTGTGTGTGTGTGTGTGTGTGTGTGTGTGTGTGTGTGTGTGGCAGAGTCCTGCACTGGGTCGGGTACCCGCGTGTACCCGACGGGTACCTGCAAAAACAGCTGATTTGCGGGTGGTTTTTAAAAAAAACATTTTTTCCCGGGTTCGGATCTGGGTGGAAAAAATAACATGCGGGTCGGATTGCGGGTTTTAGATAAACACATCAGTCATTAGTTCGGTAAACTACAGATAACTATCTTGGTCATTATTTACTCTCTGAGGATCGCCTCCGCTATTTCGCAACGGTCATTGGTTCAGCTGTTTACATGCGTTTCACCATCTAATAACACAATTTGTGATTGGACGACAGAATCAACATGGCTGCCACCGTCTAACAAGCGCCACTTCCAAAACAGTAAATAATTATTTAGGTATTTTAGAAATAAGTGGATAAAACGTACAACTATCACTTTATATGTTTATATGTTTCTGAAGTGTTTCCCTGATGGATTACTTCTCTCCTTGATGGATTATAAAAACACGTGACGGCTCGTAACTGCTGAACGTCGCTCTGGACAGAAAGTAAGTCTATTATTACACATGTAAAGTTCCTTTACATAGATTAAAAGTTTAAAAGCATTAAACGTAACAAACGAGTGCTTTTACACTCGTATGGGAGAAGAACACAGAGGGTTGATGATGGAGCTGAAGTCAGGTTTTTATTGTGAGAGCTGCTTCATTCATGTTGCTGTTTACTAACTGGCACCATAACTGTGACGATATGCTGTTCAATATTCAGCCAATATGACCCAAAATGATCACTTTAAATCCGGGTTACGGGTCAGGCTGCGGGTCGTGTTTCAACGGGTCGGACCGGGTTGCAGTACTAATTGGCATGATGCGCGGGTTTGCGGTTCAGGTGCGGGTTTGTACGTCCCCGGGGCGGGGCGGATCTTGAAAACTGAACCCGTGCAGGACTCTGGTGTGTGTGTGTGTGTGTGTTTGTGTGTGTGTGTAGCCCATAGCCCCGCCTCCCCCACAGAGACAAAGACACTTGATGACAAGAGCTAACCCTCCATTCATTACGCTAATGAACCAACTCACCTGGCTGCCAGACGATGCACGGCAGTGAACGCTCTTGTCGACCAGTCTCTTTGGTGGAGACAGACGAGAAAAACAAACACACATGAGTATGGCAATTAATCGCGGCCGGAAAAGTTACCGTCTCCCTTTTAATTTACCATGCAATTAACCGACTTATCGCATATCACGACAGGCCTAGTGCTTTTGGTTCTTTTGTGCCAGCGCTGAACTCCTACACACACACACACACACACACACACGCCTACACGACATGGTAACTGGTGAACAGCCAAGCGGCTGCAGTGGAAACAAAGTGAAGGTAACACAAAAATGACTCCAGTTGACTGCAGCTACACTCATTACTGTAAGTGACATTAAACCTTAGCGAGTAAGAAGCAAATACTTTATCAATACATGTGTTCAGCAAGCATGAACATGTAAACGTGTAGACAGAGATATTCAGTATGCTCTGTCCACAGTCTCTCATTCACCGACACTAACGTTATGTTTTACACAAGGACAGCATGCTAGTTCAGCTAATAGAGACTTTTTTCCAGAACTTTGAGGTGCGGTGGAAAAGCAAACCACTCAGATTACAAGGAATTCTTTTACCCAGGTAAATAAATTCCTGGGAATAAAATTTCCTGGAAATGTTGGTGGAAAAGGGGCTGTTGTTGCTCTCGCTCACACTTAGAAACGAACGAGCACCTGGGCCAGTATTTCGAAACACTTAATCTAGATTAGAATTATCAGAATGGGTTTAAATCTCAAAACTAGGTATTTCAAAACAAGGACCCAGTTGTTTGAAAGTGATCTGATCGGATTTCGGCTATTAGATTGGATCAAATCTTGGAAAGGAAAAAGTTTAAAAAACAGATTTGATCATGTAATTCTGTCTTGGTTTTGATCTGGATCAAACCCTCAGTGTGTGTTGTTCTGTAGTTTTTAGTAGGATTGAAATTACTTTGTTCCAAAACATTGGAATTGTCCTGAAGCCAGGAGAATGGTGATTTCAGAGTGGATTTCAGTAACAAAATGTTACAGACCTTTTAAATTTGTCAAATGTATGTACACATTTTTTTATTTATTTATTGCACTTGATTTGTTAACCATTGCAGTAATAAAGAAGACAAAGTGGACATTAGGCTTTGCCTGCGTCCAGACCTTTGAATCTACCCACTCCACTGAGTTTTAGTTGACTGATTTGTCTAGCATTGTGACATGAAACAGCAGTTTCTCAGTTAAAATAAAAAACAATCCAGTGAACACTGCAGGGGGACAAGTGATCAGCTAATGACAGACACGACTGATGCCATTGTCAAGCTGTGCGTCAAAACCAATAAGGAGTAACAACAAAATGGCAAGCAATATAGACAAGACAGACACTGCTATTGAGGCTGTTCTAAATCAACATGCCTCCTTAGTATTGCCTGAAATTGAAATTACCTTCAAGCAGGTAGCCCTGATGTAATGGAAATGCAAATCCCTGTTGCGCTGGGCTGATGGCCCAAACCAAACCAAGCCAGCACATGACTGTCAAGTGATAGAACGTTTAGTATCAGGCCTGGGTCTTAAAGACTGAATTTCAGCTTACCATGTTAACTTTCTTTGTAGCTACAATGTTGGATGCACAAAGAGAATGGGTCTCTTCCCAAACCGTAAAACCACCCTGGAGAAACAAAGAGCACTGAATGGAAACTACAAAAACTGCAGTTTAGAATCTAAGAAGAAGGTGAGAAACAGTGAGCTTTTGACTTTTAATTTCTAATGTTATTTTGTGCTGTCCAGTACTGTAAAGGGTAACTGCCCTTTATGTAACAAGAAACCTGCTTTTTTAAAAAAAAAATCCAGTGTGTCTTCTTTATCTGACTTATAGCTGTGATCAGATCTCTATGTTAGATCATGTCATCATGTCTGAGGCAAATATCATTTAAGTCTTGGCTCCCCTCAGCTCAGTCTTTTCTGAAACCCATCTGTCTGCTACCTCTGTGCAGAAGCCTGCTGCTGCTGCTGCTCCTCCTCCTCCTCCTCCTCCTCCTCCTCTGTCCACTGGTCACTCGCTCCAGCCTGCACAGGGAGAGTCCAGCCAATGTTCAGACTTGTCTGGCTACAAAAGACCCCCATCCCCCCTGTTGGCCACCCAGCCCCACAGCTTTCTGCCCAGTGACCCCAGCCAGTGGAACATAGAGGACGTCTACGAGTTCATCTCCTCTCTGCCAGGTGGGCATTGCCTCAGCTGTTACAGGCTCATTCATAACAAAATGTGCAGATTTTAGTGGCACCTTTGCCTTAAGTGTCAGTGTATAGGTGACAGGAAATGATGGAAGAGAGAGGAGGCATGCAATACAGGTCCCTAGTTAGACTCCAACCTGAGATGCTGATTTTGCGTGTACATCACCTGATGAGAAACTGAAAACCTATTTTCAGTTTCTCACTGTAAGCGATGAATACTCTGTTTTCTGTCAAATTACAAACAAATGAAAAACTTGTAGTGAAATGCTCACTATGACAAGTTAGTATTAAATATTGCCTTGTTGTAAATTTGGCAGATGTAATCCATTAAAAGGATAGTGCACCCAAAAATGAAAATTCAGCCATTATCTACTCACCCATATGCCGATGGAGGCTCAGGTGAAGTTTTAGAGTCCTCACAACCCTTGCAGAGATCCAAGGGGAGAGGGGGTAACAACACACCTAATGGAGGCTGACGGGGCCCCAGATTCAAACGTCAAAAACACGTAATTGAAACCACAAAATATCTCCATACAACTTTTTATGTCGGAGTGTCAGGACACTTGGATCGCTACGGACGAGCAGTATGGAGATATTTTGTGGTTTCAATTATGTGGGGCGCCGTAAGCCTGCATTAGGTGGAGTTGTGTTGCTACCCCCTCTCCCCTGGGATCTCCGTGAGGGATGAGAGGACTCTAAAACTTCACCTGAGCCTCCCTCGGCATATGGGTGAGTAGATAATGGCTGAATTTTCATTTTTGGGTGCACTATCCCTTTAAGTAATTTCTTGTTCCAGTTTGTCCAGGCCTGTTATCACTGGAGATGAAGTCAGTTGCTCAGATGAGTCTTATATAATTCATTCCCCACCCCTAATGTTGATGTCAAAGAGGACCTTTTATGCTTATTTTTAGGTTAAAACTGAGAATATGTTTACATGCTTTAATGGTCAAAAAAATAAATTATTGTCCTCATACTGTCTTAGCTGGAACACTGTTTAGCACCTGTCTCCTTAAGCCCCCCTCCCAAAAAAGCCCAATCTGCTCTGATTGGTCAGCGTTTCCAGGTCCTCTGTGTCTCTGTGCCTCTATGTTTCTGTGTCTCTGCACTGTCATTGTAGCCGAGGAATGTCTATAACAGAGAATAATGGCATATTGAACTGTGGAAAAACCACCAACTAAATCTTCAAAACACAACTGGACATGTTCCAGCAGGAATATGATCCAAAATCAGGGAGAAATTTACATCAACCACTAAAAGACTAAGTTTTCCTGACGTTAGTATGTAGCTACATGTACGTAGCAGTCTACTTAAAGCCATGGAATGATTGTAATGGAGAATAGCAGCACTTTACTGTGAAAAATTCCCATTAAAACTTCTAATCACATTGGACATGTTCCAACAGGAAACTGATCTGAAATTGTAAAGAAATTAACAACATCAGCAACCAAGATTCTATGTTTCCCTGACATTAGCATCCCTGGAGCAGATGACTACATAAAGAAATCTGGCACACCATGACGTCATACTGTAGCCAGAGCAGAAAAAACTGTTGGAAACAAGTATTCAGGTTGAAAACCTGAGGTCACAGATTATTTCTACATGATGAGGTGTACTTCTGCACCTCATTTTTTGAAACTTTGGCCACATTTAATAGGAACAGTCATCAATGTAACTCCATACACACGTGGACAAAATTGTTGGTACCCTTCTGTTAAAAAAAGAAAAACCCACAATGGTCACTGAAATAACTTGAAACTGACAAAAGTAATAATAAATAAGAATTTACTGAAAATTAACTAATGAAAATCAGACATTGTTTTTGAATTGTGGTTCAACAGAATAATTTAAAAAAAAAACCTAATGAAACTGGCCTGGACAAAAATGATGGTACCCCTAGAGAAGATTGAAAATAATTTGACTATAGGGACATGTTAAACTAAGGTGTGTCCTGTAATTAGCATCACAGGTGTCTTCAAACTTGTAATCAGTCAGTCTGCCTATTTAAAGGGTGAAAAGTAGTCACTGTACTGTAGGGCTGCAATGATTAGTCGACTAATCGATGACTAATCGACTATAAAAATAATGGGTGACTATTTTAGTAGTCGACTTATTGAGTCATTTTTCATAGAAAAGTACTATAGAAGTACCCCAAAATACTCTTATTGCAGCTTCTTACGTCCAAATATTGGCAGCTTTACACACTCTCCCATGATGGTGAACTAAAACCCTTTGGCGTGAGTACGAAACAAGACATTAGATGACATAATTTTGGGGTTTGGGAGAGTTAGTTGCAGCCCTACTGTGCCGTTTGGTATCATGGTGTGTACCACACTGAACATGGACCACAGAAAGCTAAGGAGAGAGTTATCGCAGGAGATTAGAAAGAAAATTATAGACAAGCACGTTAAAGGTAAAGGCTACAAGACCATCTCAAAGCAGCTTGATGTTCCTGTGACGACAGTTGCACATATTATTCAGAAGTTTAATGTCCATGGGACTGTAGCCAACCTCCCTGGACATGGCCGCAAGAGGAAAATTGATGACAAATTGAAGAGACGGATGGTATGAATGGTAACCAAAGAGCCCAGAACAACTTCCAAAGAGATTAGAGGTGAACTCCAAGGTCAAGGTACATCAGTGTCAGATTACACCATCTGTCGCTGTTTGAGCCAAAGTGGACTGAATGGGAGACGACCAAGGAGGACAGGACACCACTGTTGAAAGCAAATCATAAAAGACTGGAATTTGCCAAAATGCATATTGACAAGGCACAAAGCTTCTGGGAGACTGTCCTTTGGACAGATGAGACAAAACTGGAGCTTTTTGGCAAGTCACATCTGCTCTATGTTCACAGATACAAAAATGAAGCATACAAGGAAAAGAACCCTGTACCAACTGTGAAACATGGAGGAGGCTCAGTAATGTTCTGGGGCTGCTTTGCTGCATCTGGCACAGGGTGTCTTGAATCTATGCAGGGTACAATGAAATCTCAAGACTATCAAGGCATTCTTGAGCGAAACATGCTGCCCAATGTCAGAAAGCTTGGTCTCAGTTGCAGGTCATGGGTCCTCCAACAGGATGATGACCCAAATCACACAGCTAAAAACACCCAAGAATGGCTAAGAACAAAACACTGGACTATTCTGAAGTGGCCTACTATGAGCCCTGATCTAAATCCTATTGAACATCCGTGGAAGGAGCTGAAACATGCAGTCTGGAGAAGGCACCCTTCAAACCTGAGACAGCTAGAGCAGTTTGCTCATGAGGAGTGGGCCAAAATACCTGTCGACAGGTGTAGAAGTCTCATTGTGAGTTACAGAAATCGCCTGATGGCAGTGATTGCCTCAAAAGGTTGTGCAACAAAATATTGAGTCAATCAATTTTATTTATAAAGCCCAATATCACAAATAATAGTAATTCTGGCTAGTGTGGTACATAATGTTGAAAGTATATATTAATATTTGACATTATACATATGTGACAATAATCATATGTGTATAATAACAGTAGAAGTATGACTAATGATAACAGCAGCAGCAGGAGGCATCAGGCAGGACCACGGCAGCAGCACAACCACACACGTCACACTATCCAGGCACCGCTGTGATATAAGTTAACCTGCGAGACAGTGGAGCACAAAGGCTCTGGAGAAGAAGCCGAGTTAGTGACATGCAGTATGGCTGAGTTAAGATGCAGTAAGAGGACATGAGAGGGAGAGAGAGAGAGAGAGAGAGAGAGAGAGAGAGAGAGAGAGAGAGAAGAGAAGGTGCCCGGTGTATTATAGGAGGTCCCCCGGCAGACTAGGCCTAAGTCAGCCTAACTAGGGGTTGGTACAAGGCAAGCCTGAGCTGGCCCTAACTATAAGCTTTATCAAAGAGGAAAGTCTTAAGTCTAGTCTTAAATGTGGACACGGTGTCTGCCTCCCGGACCGCAACGGGAAGATTATTCCACAGGAGAGGAGCCTGAAAGCTGAAGGCTCTGGCTCCTGATCTACTTTTGGAGACTTTAGGGATCACGAGTAACCCTGCATTCTCAGAGCGCAGTATTCTGGTGGGATAATATGGCACTATGAACTCTCTAAGATATGACGGAGCCTGACCATTTAGAGCTTTATAAGTTAACAGTAGGATTTTAAATTCAATTCTGGATTTTACAGGGAGCCAGTGCAGAGAAGCTAAAACAGGAGAAATATGATCTCATTTCTTAGTTCCTGTTAGTACACATACCGCTGCATTCTGAATTAGCTGGAGAATTAAGTCAAGGGTACCATCATTTGGTCCAGGCCAGTTTCATTAGTTTGTTTTTTAAAATTATTCTGTTGAACCACAATTCAAAGGCAATGTCTGATTTTCATTAATTAATTTTCAATAAATTTTTATTTATTACTTTTGTCAGTTTCAAGTTATTTCTGTAACCATTGTGGGGTTTTCTTTCTTTAACAGAAGGGTACCAACAATTTTGTCCAGGTGTGTATATCGGCAGTCTATACGGTAAAGCATTAAGTTTTGTTTATGTTTTTATGCCTCCATGTCGATGAGAGCCATGGCCCGAGGCATTGTGTTTTGTCAAAGTCACTGTGACCTCACAAAAGAGGTTTTTGGCCATAACTCAAGAATTCATATTCTAATTATGACAAAACTTCACACAAATGTCTAATAGGATAAATGAATGATAATAATAATAATAATAATAATAATAACAACAATACATTAGATTTATATAGCACTTTTCAGGATACTCAAAGAGGCTTTACAGAGCGCAACAACAGCAATCAACAAAAAACAAAACAAAGAAAACAACAATAACAAAAAAAGAATCCATAGGGGGGCGATGACATTTTACATGCAAAAGGTCAAAGGTCAACTTCACTGTGACATCATAATGTTCTGCATAAAACACTTCATAAGACCACCTGGCAATCACTATGGACATTAATATCCCCATCCCCACTCCTAAAGCAAAACGCACAATATCCTTCAGAAATCTCAAATCCATCACTCCCTCAGCTCTCTCAGCCTCACTCACTAACATAATATCTACCTCCCCTCCCCTATTCTCCGACAACCCCACTGACCTTGTCCACTATTATAACACCACCCTCTCCTCCTGCCTAAATCAGTTGGCCCCCATCAAAACTAAAACCGTCTCCTTCACTCACTCTGCCCCCTGGTACACCCCTGAGCTCCATGCCATGAAATCTCGAAGGCGTCAGCTGGAAAGACTCAACAAGAAGACTAGCCTTACAGTTCATCTTCAAGCCTACACAGACCACCTGCTACACTACAAGAATGCCTTCAACACACACCCCGGTCCAACTACTACTCTCATCTCATACACTCTGGCTCCAACAACCTCAAAACTCTTTTCTCCACAATAAACAAACTTCTCAAACCCATCGACAACACCTCCACATCCTTCACAGTCAACAAGTGCAACTCATTCTTGTCATTCTTCCAAACAAAAATCAACACCATCTACAGCAACCTGACCACCTCCCCTCCCTTCCCGACCCCTCCACCTGCTCTTCCCCCCACCTCTGTCCCGCCACTGTCACACTTCCCCCAACTGACTCCTCTGGACCTCACAAAAGCCACTACAGGTATGAGTAATTCTACATCAGTTCATGACCCAATCGCTTCCTCACTTGTTAAGTCCTTTCTCCCTTCTATGTCCCCACTCATCTCAAGAATTATCAATGCCTCCCTCAGCTCTGGCTCAGTCCCGTATCCTTTGAAACTCGCCGCTGTCACCCCCATCCTCAAAAAACTCGGACTCAATCCCGACATCATGACCAACTTCCGGCCCATCTCCAACCTCCCCTTTCTGTCAAAAATCCTGGAGCGCGTTGTTGCCACTCACCTCAAAACCCACCTCACCTCCAATGACCTATTTGAGACGTTTCAATCCGGATTCCAGTCACAACACAGCGCTGAAACAGCTCTGCTCAAAGTCACCAACGACCTCCTCTCCGCCGCCTCTGGACACCTCAACATCCTCATCATGCTCGACCTCACTGCTGCATTTGACATGATTAACCACTCCACCCTCCTCTCCCGTCTTAAAACCTGTTACAACATCACTGGCATGGCTATCCCCTGGTTCAGATCATATCTCTCCAACAGACAGCAATTTATCCATATCAATAACTGCACCTCCTCCACTGCTCCTCTGTCCCATGGCGTCCCCCAGGTTTCTGTGCTTGGTCCTCTCCTTTTCATCCTTTACATCCTCACGCTTGATAACATCATCCGCCAATACAGCCTCCATTTCCACTGCTGTGCTGACGATGTCCAGATCTACATTGCCACCAAATCCATCACTACAGCAATCTGCTCCTCACTGAAATAAAATCCTGGATGCAAACTAACTTTCTACAACTCAACTGTGACAAATCAGACATGATCCTAATCGGCCCCAGTTCCCTTACTAAAACATCCATAATTTCAGCCTTAATGTTACAAATTCTACACTTTCTCCATCTCCACATCTATACAACCTTGGAGTCACTTTCGACAACAACCTTTCCACCTTCTCCACTGCAGAAACTCTGATTCACGCATTCATAACATCCAGACTCGACTACTGCAATAGCATTCTGTATGGTTCATCTTCTAAAGTCCTCAACAAACTACAGTACATCCAGAACTCTCCCGCGACCATATCAGGCCCGCCCTCCAAAACCTCCACTGGCTCCCAATTCTTCAATGCATCCAGTTCAAAGTCCTTCACCTCACCTTCAAAGCCCTTTATAAATCTTACCTCACTGACCTGTTGCACCCCCCCCCCCCCCCCCCCCCCCCCCCCNCCCCCCCCCCCCAAGCAGTCTCCGCTCCTCTGATGCAAATCTCCTCTCTCTACCACGCAGGACCAAGCACAAAACCTGGGGGGACAAAGCCTTCTCCACTGCCCCCTCCCTCTGTAACTCTTTCCCCCAACACATCCATAACTGTACAGACTTAAACTCCTTCAAATCTTTGGTCAAAACCCACCTGTTCAGGCTTGCATTCAATCCCGATACCCTCTCTTAACTGTGTTTTACTGCTCTCATGTTGTTTTTATCTTGTTTTTTTGTTTTTGTAAAGTGTCTTTGAGTGTTTTGAAAAGCGCTATACAAATAAAATGTATTATTATTATTATTATTATTGAAACTGTGCTGATTGTATAGATCCTCTGGGCTGTCGGAGAGAGAATGTGTGTGAAGCATCCATGTTATCAGAGACATGGGTGTAAACTAAGGGAAATTTGACTGATGCACGCAGGGATACAACCGCAGAGGGATAATTCTGGTTTCTCACTGTCCTGCCTACCTGTTCCTTTTTGTGATAGGGCAGATGGATCTACATGAACCTGGGATAAGTGAAACTATGTTTCCATTCCAGATCCCCGAGTTGACCTCGCAGATCAAGCACTTTAATTTCTTTTAACTTTCTATAAAAAACAATCTGAACTATGATTTTCCTCTGCAAAAAGCTTTGGCTGCATCCTGCAATAGAACAGGATTATTATAATCATTGTGCTCTAGATAAACCTTCAGTCTCTCTGCCATTCCAGCTGTAAATGTAGCACTATTCAACAACCCTGTGTTTAACATCTGTAAGTTTTCTTTGGAGCACAATGTAGGTGGAGCTTGAAGTATATTCAGGGTGGTCTGAAAGTTTCTACAATCCCTACTCCAATGCTAATCATTATTACACGAGAAAATATTGTTTCTTTTAAAGAAGCATTTTTCCGATTATCTCCAAAGACTTATTTATTCCTTTCAGTAATACAAAACAATACAACAAATTAAAAATAAAAAATAATGAATAAAAGTAGGTTTTATTTGGACTTACATACGGATACAGATATTTGTAATACGTACAATGTTAAAGCCTCAGTGTGTAAAAATGGTGAGTAACAGTGACATCAGCGGTCAAATTCTAGATTGCAGCGCTCACTCGCTCTCACTCACCCCTCCCGTCGGGTAAGTGACGGTGGCCTTGTAGGACAAAAAGCCTTGTGCAGACAGCAGTTTTTCGAGTTTTTCAGGAGCATCTAGCGACGAGGTGAATATTTATTTAGGAATCTAGACCATGTTACGATATGTTATAGCTTACCAGTGAGATATAGGTTATCTGTGAGATAGATGTTAGGAGTGCTTTATTTCTAATTGTTTTGGTAACACGAGCATTAGCACAGTAATGCTAAAATAACAAGTTTTATGTGATAGTCACGGCACAGTGCGGCAAGTATAGGTTGGTACGATTATAATATATGCGTTTTCAGAGTGTTCTTCCACAGGACACAGGGAGATGAGGAAGACGGAGAGGAGGAAGACCAGGGAGAGGAAGGGGGCAAGGGAGTAGAGGCGGTGCAGGAACGGCCAGGCGAAGACGTGTGTCTTGGCTACCCAGAGGGAAGAGGAGGAGGAGAGGGTGACAGCCTTCGCAGTAGTGTGAGAGGAATCAACAGATTAGGCTGTAGTCTAGGCTAACCATTTAGCTGTAGCTCTAGGATAACGTTAGCCAAGGCTAGGATAACGTTAGCACGTAAACGTAGCTGTCACTCGAACTTAGACGAGAGGGAAAAGTAGTTGCAAACATGAAGCCAAAATGATTTTAAAATATCAGATTGAATTACCTGTCTAGCAGAAAGCAGGCAACCTCCACATCCCTTGTAAAATCCTTCTCCTTCAGGAGTTCTTTCCACCTGGAATAAGCAACACCGATATTCACTCGCGTTTTGTCCCGTCTTCGCTTATCTGATCTTTTTCTTTTATTTGGTGGCGTGGTTTCCCTCTTGCAGGGCAAAACATATGTGTAGTCCTCCATTTAAAGTGTGACAGAATCACAAAAGTACAAAGCAGGTTGACGCAGAAGCGCCCCGGATTGATCTTCACCTTAACCGTCTCCAGTGACGGCAAGTTCTAGGTAAACGCAAAAGGCAAAGCGCGTATATCCCTTTTGGCCACTGTATTCAAATATGGCGACGCAAGAGGGCAGCCTCCAGCAGACCAAGCCCTGCCTGTATATATATAAAGAAATCATTCTAAGCCTATGAGAAAGCTTCCATTTGTATGTGAATTGCATTACACTTTAGTAAATATATATTTATGAAAGCAATAGTTGGTATTTGCTAATAAACAACCACGTAAATTACACATTGTAACTTAAGAAAACTCTGGTGACAAATGGATGAAGTTAGCCATCATGGTGATTATCATGAGACATTTGAGCTAACTGTTGGTGGTCTATGGCTGCAGGTTGTCTGGAGATTGCTGAGGAGTTCCGTTCTCAGGAGATCGATGGACAGGCCCTGCTGCTGCTGAAGGAAGACCATCTCATGGGAACCATGAACATCAAACTGGGCCCTGCGCTCAAGATCTTTGCCCAGATCAGCACACTTAAAGACACGTAGCCCATCTCACCCTTCACACACACACACACACACACACACACACACACACACACACACATACTGCTGTCAAAGGAAGCTTTGCTGTGATAGACAAACATGATGTGCTCAGGATCCCACAAGGTGTCTTAACTGTGCGTTGAGTTCAGGTACTGGGCCAGAATTGTTTGCTGGACGTTTTGTCATGGCCTGTTGAACATGAGGACATCAGCTGGGACTGTTCCAATCACCTTTTACACTGGTAACATGACTCTGGCACTACTTCAGGAAAACCTCAGCCCATAGTTTGACAAGAATGGTTGTTAGGTAGGCTGTGTTGGGAAAAGTGTTTCTTTGAGAACATGTTGTTTTCATAATGTATTACTGTTCTTTGGGTTCCCGCAGGGGAGGTTGAAGGTTAGCAGTTGATTTGTTCTAGTATTTCTCACAGGAGTATGACTCAAGGTTTCAGATGTGTGCCCAACATTCTGGAAAACTAAACTAAATAGCCACTTGATTACAAGATCAGTGTCCTGTGCATCTTGTGCAGAGCTACAGTCAGTTTATACTACCTACATATCAAGGCCCTGCACTGCCGTCTCTTTGACCTCTGGACATATCAGTCACTTGGGTGCTCCTAAAATTCATAAGAGGGAGAATTTTGAAAAAATCAAAATCAATGGAGGATAGCAATAAAGGTAAAAAAAAAATAATGACATCAGGTATGCAGCAAAAGGCTGCAGGCTGGAATCAAACCCACAGCCACTGCGGCAACAATTTTGCCTTTGTATATCGGATGCCTGCTCTACCCACTAAGCTACCTGGTGCCCTGCTGCACTATCTCTTCCAGCCACCAGTGGCAGCGCTGAGGTCACACCTTCCCACTTGTGGAAGGCTGAATCCAAATGTCCACCCTCTGGACTCGCAGACTTAGCCCTCACGAAAGTCAGTTGTTCATACTGTGATATGTTCACTGTCAACATGTGAAGACTGCAAACAGCTGATAGACAGGCCTCAAGTCTGTTTCACTAATTGCCGTGGAAACGTTTGAGCAACAACTACAGTCATGTACATGGTGATCGCTGCTGTCATATTCTGTCTGTTCATCTGTACCTGCAGATAACAAGATATAGGCTAAATCCCATGTAGGCTACAAGCTTTTTTGGGACTGAACTTAATGATATTTATACATTCCTATGTAACAATTCAGGCTTCATTCATTCAAATGCAGACATGTTTGTAAACCAGGACCAGACTGTGACTAAATAACTTTGGTAGTACTTAGATTGTAGGGGTGTAAATCACCAGTTTCATCACGATACAATATTATATCGATTCTTTGGACAACAATACAATATTGTCTGATATTACAAAGTCTACCATAATATGATTTCCATTAAATACGATTCAGGTGTCTGTGATCGATATCAGGCGATGCCCATTAAATGCCCATTTAACAGTCTGTTGTAGATGCTGCCACCCCTTTCCTTTTTTACTTTTGGTCATAAAACACATGAACACATAAATACTAAGTACAGTAAAGTCACTCTAAACTGACTCCACCAACACAAATAAAACAGCAAATGGGACTAGTTAACATTCAGGGCTTTCTGTCAGAGAGACCTTTCTGGAAGAAATCTTTTCATTTTAACTCAAACCATCATCTTTTCCATAAGACTTCAGGAATATCTGGCTTAAAGCCCTGAGGGCAAACTTCCATAAAAGCCATAAAACACAGATTAACAACAAGATCATCCAACAAAACTATAACATTCAGTTCAGTAATAACTGTCAAGGTTCACGGACAAAACAATTGTTTTTTGCTAATTACCCATTATTAGCTTTAGCATGTTTACATTGCATAAATCAGCCTAGTGGCTAACAGACATTTTTCCTATTCTCATAGCTTAACAAATTAAATGCAGCGTTATAATTTTTTTAATCACCGGTGATTAAAGTCTCTGCATCTCCTGACAGAACAGCGTGGTTGAATTTCAGCCTGCATGCACGGTTTTTCAGCCGAGCATTGTTGAAACAGAACAGCTAATGTTGCTGTAGTGAGAAGTTAGCAGAGTGAGATGCTCGTCCAGGCAGGTAACGCTACGTTATCTCGTAACATCATGTTTAGATACGCCATTTGCTCTGTCTGTTGTCCTGTATTTTCTCCAAAATCCCAAATATTTCCACTCTGTTGATTTATTCCCGAGTAAATAATGTTATCCTCATCGTCTTTCTCTTGGCTGCTTGCCATTTGCCTGTCGCTGTTTGACAGTGACACAGGCTTTCAAAATAAAAGTCTATGCTAAAGATGACGAGATGGATCGATGTTTTCACTTTGCATCGATGATATTGGATCGTTGATCACTAAATCGATATATCGATCCAGATCGATGGATCATTACACCCTTATTAGATTGAAGACCTTTTATTGTTTCTCTGCCAGTTTTCTTTGTCTATATAATTGGCATGACACTGCACAGCTTTTAGCCTGTCAAGTAGGCTGCAACAATAAAATGCTTTGTGATTAGGCTACCTTTATACCTATACCTATATATATCCTTCATTTCTGTATCATGATGTGGTTGAAAATTATTTCTGGCCTACAGGAACCAGATGGTGTTTAAATACAATAACTGCTTTACACTTTTACAATACCTTAGGCGATAAGTGAAAAAAACCCTGCAGTGTTTTGTCCATATTGCAATGAATCATGGGTAATTAAATCAGTTAAGTCTGCACCCCAAGCTGACTCACTGGAGGTCTGCAGAAAGTCCCCTTGAGGCACCTTGTGGACTGGATGAGTTTTGGTTTTGGATAGCCCTCTGCACTCTCAGACTTCCGGGAGTGCACCTGTAAAGCCTGCGAGTCTGCAAGTGCGGTGAAGTCTGGACATTTGGATTCAGCCATAGAGAAACCCTGTGCCATCTTCAGTTGTACATGGTTGTTATGACTTCAATGATGGACATTTTTCTTGATGATGTCATCAGCAGATGGAGTTTACTCAGTTTTTTTGTGATGTGTGTGTGTGTGTGTGTGTGTGTGTAAATTTGATGAGCCACTCAGTGACTGATGATGACGATGCAGGATTGTGATGCAGTAGTTTGACAGTCCTTGCCGAGGGCTAAAATACTGAAAGTCCGCAGTGTGTGTTTAGACTGGAAGCAGCAGGAAACTGCCAGCCTAACTGTAGCAGCAGCTGTGACAAAAAACATCCAACAACTTCAAAGCTGTAACGACTGACAGAGTGGTGCAGCAATGAGTCCTTTTAATACCAGTAATGAGTTAGGATGTTTGCACTCCCTGTTCCCTCATCTTGACGTCAGTGGGTTTTTTTGAAAGGATTCTTGGTCATATGCCTGTGAAATAAGGTCTGTAGTTGAAGGATAACTTTGGCATTTTTCAACGTGAACCCTATTTCCCCATGTAAATTGGTCAAAGGGACTAAAGTGAACAACAGTTTTTGAAATTGGTCCAGCAGTGAGGAAGCGGGCAGCAGCCGCACAACAGGTGGTAACAGAAACACATGGGCAACTGAACACTGTTACTGTATGTCGATTAAAAGTGGTTATTTTCACTATAGAGCGGCTCAGATCTTTATGAAAATGCCGAAGTTAACCTTTAACACAAGCTTAATAGACTCTCACATTTTGTCCATCTCCATCATAAAATACATCAGGAAATACCCCACTCTGAATTTTGATGCTTTTATTTCTCTTAAAAAAGATGGTTGCTAACAAGTGGCTAAATGAGACTACAGAGCATTATCACACCAAACAAGGCTTGGCAGCCTAGTTGTGGTTGCGATGTTAAATCATGTGACCGTAATGTTGATAGTTTACAGCCTAACATTGGATTTTTACTAAACAGCCATTACATTTAGGCTTCAAAAATCATAAAGTGGTGTTCATCTGTGAAGATTATCTTGCTAAACTAAATATGTAAGTATCATAAACTTTAGTTTGCCACAGAGCATATTTTCTGCAAAACTCAAAACCCAGTGGAATAATCCACTTTTTTGTTGAGGCAACTAGGACGATGCTAACATCTAGACTGGCCCACAAATAAACCTCGTCCCTGCACCGCTCCATTGTGATTTATTTTATATTGACCAGCAGCCATTAACAAGGTCCAGTACTGTGAGTAAAGAAAATAGTTTAGAAGTAAATGGAAGATAGACTATTTGCAGTCCATTTTCATCTCTGCTCCCAGTCTTTGTGCCAAGCAGACTAAAGATGTCCTGGGCCTGTCTCTGCTGGACACACAGAGAAGCCCAGGAGAAAGGTAAAAAACAGAAAGCCGTGACTCTGTTACCACAGCACACAAGCTTATTTCCCTAAATATCAGACTTGTCAGAAAAGGCTGTGATTGAATGTCCAGTTTCTTAATTGTGATAATGGAAGAATCACTGGCCTGAGAACAGACACTGATGATTTTAGGTTTTGGAAGTGATAGCACTGAATACAAACACACTGACTTAATAAACCTCATGTTTCCAGGTCAAGGCTGATTTATACTTATATGTCACAGTGTCTCTGTACAGGAGCCGGACATGACAGTCAACACATATCAACAAACAAGCTTTTTTTTTTCATGTAGCAAAGCCATTTTAATGCGGACATTCTGTTCACCCTCACTGGTATGACTCTGGGTCAGAAACAGTGAAGGAGATTGAATGCAAACATGAATTTTCTCATGTTCCACAAAACTGCCATTTAGTGTTGCAGCAGTGATATTACAGTGATCAAGTCAAGTCTATGCATACAGGAAATGATTGCCATTAGTGCCTATGGGACATACTGACAGAAGTATGATTCAGGCTTGAAACATTGTGTGAAAGGCTGTGGATATATTGTCATTTCATTATACTTTTACCAAAGTTAAGTGAGTGTCACTGCTGAATTGCTGTCACCACAAATTTGTGGGGGTGTGTGTGTGTGGGTGTGTGTGTGTGTTGAGGTATGGTAAATGGTAATGGACCTGCACTTGTATAGCGCCTTTTTAGTCATTAGACCAATCAAAGCACTTTTTACATTACGAATCACATTCACCATGGCCTAGGCTACCATACAAGGTGCCACCTGCTTCTCTCTTTTTTTTTTAACACAGCCATCGGGAGCCATTTGGGCTTCAGTATCTTGTTCAAGGATACTTGGACATGCAGACTGGAAGAGACGGAAATCGAACCACTGATCTTCCAATTGGAGAAGGACCCGCTCTACATTGAGCCACAGCCGCTGATGTCCTGGTTCATTACTGCAGATGGTATTAAATATTTTATCAGTTGTATTCCAAAGTAGGCTGACATCTGCAGACCAAACTTAATATAAAAAAATACAAATAGAAATTAGTCTGGAACCTCTCAGTTCATTTTCAATTTCCAAGGGCCGTTATCAACATGTGACTAAGCACTGAGCGACCAGTGACCATGTCCGCCCGGTGTAGATGGCCAATCGCAATCCAGTTGTACCAGCTAACCACAGCACATCAGGGCAGAACTAAGCAGGTGGGAAAAAAATAATGCCTGAACGTCAGAAAAATTTAAACAGTCCCTGCAGCGTACAGAGATGAGCTGGTATCACAGGGTGTTTCTCAAAGTCAAGGATCCTTCCTTGGGAGGAAGGATCCTGCAGAGGCAAGGCAAGAGTCCTCCCAAGCATTCAGTGAACAGACACTGGAACAGACTAACAAGTGTCCCCATGTGATAATCATTAACCCTCAGCAGACTGAGGTTTCAGTTACTGTGATCATTTTGGCACTCTGTAATGTTATTGTACAATTTTAAACACCAGTATTGTCAGAATCATGAGACTTTTAGGGAGAATATATTTCTGGATCATATTTAAGAGTAAGTGGAGAAATGCAGTAAAGGCAACAGCTAAAAAGTTCTAAATTATCATTAACAGTATGAACACAGACTCACACAGAATCACTGTCATTTCAAAGTGATCCATATTTCTGTGTGTCACCACACACTCTGCTACAATAATATGAACAGATGTGATCTGATGAGCTGCGCTGTTCTGAAACAGCTGACCACGCCGATTGTACATTGACACTTAACGCTCCGTCTCTGCTGTGAATTCATTCATTTAAAACTTTTATGTTTTGTCTAAATCACGTTATTTCAAAAAATCTCATTATTTGGCAGTGGACACAATAGAAAGTGTAAATTATGAGGTTTCTGTCTATTTTTTTCACGCTTGGATGATAAAAACTGGTGGATATATCAATCCAAATAAATAACATTAATCTAAATCCTGCCGAGCTCCACTGACGCAGGTTTCATTGAAGAAGCCCCGCCCTCACTTCTAGCAAATCGTGTACTGTGCAAAGCATTGTGGGGATTTTATACCTGCGGAGGATCCACACATGCATCCTTCGAATTTCTCTGAAAGAAGGACTCAGTCCTTCTTGAAACTCGGAAGGATCCTTGAGCGTCCTTCAAATTCGGCTGTTTGAGGATCCTTCCTTGACATTGAGAAACACCTAGTGAGCTGAGGTTGTGGTTGCCCTGAGAGACGGTGACAACTAATTAAAGACTGATGAGTTTCACCTGATCCAAGTTGTGTCTGCTGCCGGTGACTCTGTGGGCTGAAGATTCTCAGCTGCAGGTGATTGAGGGAGGTGAACTGATAAGAGAGAGCCCAGGAAGAGCCCAGGTGTGTGTCTGGGTAGCGGAGCTTCAGGTACGTTGGGGCAGCATTCCCAGGGAAGCAACTGTTTGCACTCGCGGAAGGTGGGTGGGGGCCGTTCGTAGCCATTTAGGGCTGCCAGCGGTGAAGACGGGTAGAGTAAGGAATAGACGTTCCTGTGATAGGGCTGTTGACAGACAGGGACTGGGGAATTAGGAGTGCCTTACCACTGCCCAGCTCTGAGTAGGAGCGTCTTGTCATGCCGTCAGTTGCTCCACCGTTCCAGCGCTGGACCGACGATTCCGTCCGCGGGCTCTTGCTGCTTACGAGCCGGGTCAGACCAGTGTCACAAGCCTCGACCCTGGGGGAGGGTCTTGGCCAACTGGCCAGTTAAGTGAACTGTACATTTTAAATGTTAAAATTAGTGTTATATGTTTAGTTCGGTCCCTCATTGTCCTGGTCAGTTTCTTCTGTTGTTGAATGTAGCTTTTAGGAATTTTAATCAAACCACCACAGCAGGGGATTCGTGGGAAAGGGGGAGGAGCTGGGAGGAGGTTAGCTGGTCGGCAAGTCGGCAAGTCCCGCCCAGTCTAATTACATGGCACCATTCAGAGTGAAACTCAGTGTGTCTACCTAAAGTGAAATGGTGTGATTTACTGCATGGGGTTTAGAGTGCTTACCTGCTGTGTTTTCCCATGTGAGGGTTCGCTTGTTGAGAGCCATGTTTGCCTCCTTTAATATAAAGTGATTTGGTGTGCTGTGGTGCTGAGGGCGGCTGGTTAGCTGGTGGGGTGGATTTGTTGGAGGGGGGTTGTGTTAAGGTTTGGCCAGTTCTGGACCCTTTGCATGAAGAAACTGCTTTGGCTTAATGAATTGATCAATAAAATAAAGTGCTCATATTTCCTCATACATCGTGGTATTGTGTGTTTCCTTAACTTAAGACTGATGACTTTCTCGCAGATTTTGTGTTTAGATGGGCGGATACAATTTCAGAGTTTAAAAAAACTCCCTACATTGCAGAACCAATAGTAAATCCGCAGGGCGGTCCTTCGGTGGCTTGCTGAACTCTTGTGCTCGTAAACATAGTCCGACTGCGTTAAAAGTTTTAAACAAAGTCGCTGTTAGTCCTTCATTTCCACAATCTTGTGGACTGAGCACACGTTTGATAAAGCGGAGTTAAATCTCTCGGCATCCATTTTCAAGCCCTCTGTGTGTTTGTTTCCTTGCGGACGAGAAAAGGGGGAGCGCACATTTCCGGGAGGGCGTGTCCTTTTCAAAAATGCAAGAGGCGTTGCTTTGTTGCCGGCCGTTTTCTCCGGTGTGTTAAACACACTTTAGAAAGGAGTGTCCCCAGACTATCAGAAGGTGGCGATCTCTGATTGTCTGGTGGCGAGACTAATAAAGTCTATGTTTGGTATATTAAACTTTTGCCAAATCCTGTTGGCAGTACAGCGAACACATCTTTCTTCAGTGAAGGATAGGGGCATGGACCTATCTACCATTGCTAGAATTAGCAGCACTCAGGGCGAGGCGAGCGCATCTGTAGAGGACAAAAGTAGCACAGTCGAGAACAAGATGCTTCAGGTTTGTCCTTGCAGCTGGCAGAAAGTAACATCAATAAAAGGCCTCAGAACTCATCAGGGAAAGAAGAAGTGTGTGGCAAAGAAAGGGCAGAGTAGCCACATTGATCAGTACTTCCTAAGAAGTCAGTCGGATGAAGTCCAGCGACAGGTAGAAAACCACAGTTCACAGGATATCAGTAATACTGCCACTGAGGAGGAGGACGAGGGGGTAATAAGAGAGGATGCAGATGACAATGAGGCCAGTGTGCCAGTCAGAGAGAGAACCATGGAGCAAAAGGTTAGAGTTAGATGGCCTAGGGCAAATGACAGTAAATAATGGGAGATAGTTAATAGAGATTTGTCAGTAATTTTAAGCAGGCTTAGAAGAAATGCAATAGAAAAGATGGGAGATGTAATTTACTCATATGGTGCAGAGAGGTTTGGGGTGCATGAGAGAAAGAGGAGTGAGAGGGTACAGTCAGGTAAGTCTAGGCGGCAAAGAGAAATAGAGAAGTTAGTCAAGGAAAGGAGACAGTTAAGAAAGCAGTGGAAAAAGGCTACAGAAGAAGAAAGGGAGGGAATTGCAATTGCAAGAGGAGTTGAGAAGCAGGCTAGCAGTTCTTAGAAGGGCAGAGCATCTCAGGAAAAAGAGGAGGAAGAAGGAACAAGTAAGGACAGGTTTTTTTAGGGACCCTTTTAAGTTTGTTAAAGGATTGTTTAGCCAGGAAAAGGGATGGCAGCTTAAAGCAGAAAGGCTAGAGGTTGAAGAATATTTGAGAAATACATTACAATACATAGATATAGAGAAGAATAGGATAGCAGGTTTTACACCGGATATCCCTCCATTAAGCCCTGTGTCCATATAGCGCCTTTTTCTGAGCACCAGA